TGCCTCAGCCTCTCAAGTAGCTGGGATTAGAGGTGTGCATCACCATACCCAGCTCTGTCTTTTTCTTTTTTTTTTTTTTGGTACCGGGGATTGAACTCGGGACCTTGTGCCTGTCTTATTTCCTAGGCAGCCTTTATTATTTGGGATTCTTCTTTCCCAATGACTTCTCTTCCAAAGGCTTTTCCCAAGCCCTGATGCAAACAATTCCAGTGAAAAGTTCCATCACCAGTGGGTCTGCTTTGTCATCCTGCTCCTCCTCCTAGAAGCCCTCAGCCTTCACACATACTTAACCAGGTGACAGTCACGGGTTAGGAGTTTGAAAACCACAACCCCAGGGCCAAATCTACCCTGTCACCTGCTTGTATGCAGCCCAAAAGTTATGAACGTCTTTTACATTTCAAGAAATGTAAAAGCAAAGAAAATCCAAAGAACAGTAACATTTCATGCATATGAAAATTGTGTGCAATTCAAATTTCATGACTACAAATAAAGTTTTATTGGAACACAGCTACACTCATTCATTTACATCTTGTCTGTGGCTGGTTTTCTGCTACAATTGCAGAGTTGAGTGATTGGTCTCAATAAAGTCCATGTGATCTGCAAAGCATATACATGTATTCCACATCCCTTTTCAATAAACATTCACTGACTTCCAGTTTCCACCCCAGGCCCTGGAGTCAGGCTATCTGGGTTTGGATTTAGTTCTACTAATAAATAACTATGCAGGGACTTTCTTAACTCTTCTAACCCACAATTCCCTCATTTGTAAGGTGGGGACAACAAGAGTTATATTCATTTCGTTAAACTGCAGAGGGAGCAAATAAGCTGAGTACATACTTTTCTACAGACATTAGTTATTGTTCTTGCTTTACAGCTGGTGACTGTGAACAACAAAATTGTCTGGCATTAAATAAAAAGTCTAGAACAAGTGTTTGTTTTCTTCACCACAAAGTGATAGGAAGAAAAATCTGCTGAACCTGAGGCCCAGCTGTACAATAGAGTTCTAGTGTCCCTATGACCAAGGAATGACTGGATGAAACTTCACTCTTTACACAAATAAAGGTCAAGTTTAAGCAAATAACTTCCTTTTTAACTTCATACTCCAGAGGCCTCAGCAAACAAGTAGTGTCCTTTGACTGATTGTGTTCTGAAGAAAGTTAAGGTTTTCAATTTTTTTCATGTTCTTGTGTGGTAATTTTCCACATAAACAGATGATTTTCTATAGTTATAATTACATCGTGGCATATGTAGTTTTATTGTTTTCATTTAAATTTACATCAAAATTTTTCCATATTGTTTCTTCATTTTCATCATCTCTTGTTTTACACAGTATTATGAAGACTGGTTTTTGTTTGCTTTTGCAGCACTGGGAATTGAACCCAAGGCCTTCATACTAAGCTACAACCCTAGCTCTTTTTAATTTTTTATTTTGAGACAGGGCCTTGCTAAGTCACTGAGCTTGTAGCCTGGCCTCAAACTTGTGATCCTCCTGCCTCAGGTTCCCAAATTGTTGGGCTTACAGACATGCACCACCATGCCCAGCATATGACATTTTTTTTAAATGTAGTAATTTTTCAAGACATATAAAAATAAAGATTTTTTAAAAATCAGGTAGCTTTGACTCTATCTCACCTGAGTACAGATGGAGTTTTCAACAAACTAATGACTACTCATTGCTCCTTTCTGCATCCTCGCCCTCTTAGTGGTGTCAGCTAATTCAGACATTTGCTGTGAAGCACATTCTAGAAACAAAACTGAGTGTTTGTGTGAATGTGATGACCAAGTATGAACCTTCCCATGACTGGGACAAGGAGAAGAACAGTATTAGAACTATGACACCATCTCCTTCTCCATCAGAAAAGCTAGAGCTGGGAGGACAGGTTTCTCTCCCCCAACCCCACCAGCTCCTGAGCCCCCAGTTCCAACTTCCTGTACCACCTGGTTCAGGGTACCACCTGTTCCTGGGGTACAGGGAATCACCCTGCTCCAAAGCATTTGCCTTAGAAACCCACCAAATACTGCCTCGAACCAACTGCAATCCATTTATCTTTATCCTTCTCTTTTGTATTCCAGCTGTCCACCCCTCATTCATATGTAGGCTCAAAGATCAATCCTTCTCTCTCCTTAACACAATCCATAGGTTCTGGTGGAGAAGTTGAGTTAGCCAGATTCAGCAAACTAAACCTGGTTGGTGATCGCAGGGGAAAGGGCGGCTCTGGCCAGCTGTTTTCCAATCTTGCCATTCCATTCTTAGGCACGGTCAGGGATTCTCAGAGTATTCAGGTCAAACAGCCTCCAAATTCATTTATGCTCATTCTTCTTGCCCAGGCTCCTTTGGGCAGGTCCTGGGAGCGCTCTCTCTGCAGAATGTGCCTGTGCTTTGTGTGGCTTCGGAATGTGGGGGTCTCTGGTTGTGGAATATGCATAATGCTTCTTCTGAGAAGATATCAGGGGAAAAGGAAAAGGATATTTTTGGGCTGTCATTCCACCTACCCATCTGGTGGACTCTAATTTTAAGCCCCATTTTAATAAAAAGTCTCTGAATAGCTGTGCTTTTATGACTCAAATGGACTTTCAAACTGGGATTCTACCATCTGATAGAGCAAAGTGGGTGGACTCTAGTCTTCAGAGAGAAAAGAACAAACAGACTGAAAGCTGTAGTTAAAATTTTCCACTTTCCTCCAACTCTCTTAAAGCAATTATTCTCAGACTTGCAATCTCCAGTCCCTTGGAAATCTCCAGACTTGAAATCTTCCAAACCTCAAGTTTTACAAAGAGCCTACAATGAAGGGTGGGGAAAGGCACTTGAGATTGCTTTAGGAAAAACTAAGCAGGACTGGCCAAGAGTATCAGAGCAGAAAGTCCAATGGTCCCAGCAAAAGGCTGCAGCTACTAAAGGGGCCCAGGAGCAGTTGCTGAGAAAAGAGTGAAGGTGTGAAGGCGTGTGCACATCTGTAATCCAGCACACTGGGAGGCTGAGGCGGGAGGCTGGCACGTTTGAGCCCAGCATGGGCAATTTAGTGACATAGCAAGACCCAGTCTCAAAATAAAACCTAAAATGGGCTGGGAATATAGGTCGGTGTGCAAGGCCCTGGGTTCAATCTCCAGTACCACTGGCTCAAATCCCTCCAAACTCCTCTTATCAGAGCACTGCATAAAGTCCGTGTGCTGTCACGGTCCCCTTTCCTCTGGCCACCGGAGGCCTTTAAAGAAGTTTCCTCTGGCTTCTTACACAGGAGTCACTGCCAGGGTCCCTGGTTGGTTGGGAACCTGTCAAACCTGGCTGGGTGGCCTTTGCATTTGCCTTTCTCTTCTCACTGTCCAGAATCCCCCTACCCAGCTCCCGTCACAGATGCTGTCCCAGATCTTCTGTATGAAACAGCAGCACTCCACACCCTGTCCTCTGCTTCTGGGGACTTGGGAGGTCTCTCTAGGCCTCTGCCCATGTAATGTACACCACTCCCCTCTCTCACTGTCCCGGTCTCCCCTGCAGAGGCAGGAGTTTCCCTTTCTCTGCTGCTGCGCCTCCATTCCTGGAACAATGCCTAACACCTAGTAGGTACTTAGTATCCAGGAAAGAAGAGAAATTACCAAACCTGGGCAGTAAGTTCGATGACGCCATTGACCAAGGAAGAGAGAGTGGTTTTTTTTCTTTGGTACTGGAGATCAAACTCAGGTCTTTGCGCTTGTGCAGCAGGCAGAGAAACCACTGAGCTAAATCCCCGGCCCAAGAGTGGGTTTTTTTCGGGGTGTGATGGTGGGGTTCCTTCTGGATGTCAAGTCCGGAATGATGGAAGCATTTCTTTAGTGACATGTTGCACACGGACACCTACTGGTTGACAGAGAGGACAGTAACTCCTGGGACCTAAATCCAAAAAGGAAAAGCAGGATTAAAACAAAAAACAAACCCCAAAACTTCAGGCCTGGCTTCACAAGTCAACAATGTTCAATGCACTGAATTCTCTAGATTACACTTTACTATCTTTCACTACAGGTTTATCTTCCTTTCATGTTTCAAATAGGCTAGGAAACCTCCACAGAGCGCAGGGACAATACAGCTTTTGCAGGAAGTGTGTTCCCAGACGGTGAACGTAGGAAGCCGGCCATCTACTCCGCGATTTGACTTTTCAGTGTGAGGTAGCAAAGCGCCCTCGGCTCCTACCCCATCTCCATTTTCCAAGCCTCCCTCTCAGCCATATCCAACGCGCGGTCCCCGCTTTTTGGAACCTCGTCAATAAAAGATCTAAGAACAGACAGGGATGAGCCTGGGCCTCTTCAGCCGAGCCGCCTTCTGGCTATTTAGGAAGGGACAAAGTCTTGGGGCAGACTTGGGCAAGGATCCCGGTGTTTTAGGACGCAGGGCTTCCAATTAGGACTTTGTATCTCATTTCCCCAGTGAGGGTCCTAGGGAATGACCTGACCCTTCGGGAGCGCCGTCTCCCCAGCACTAGTTCTGTTCTGCAGGAGACCGAGGTTCTGTCTGGGCGGTAGAGCCTGCGGCCCCAGGAGATCCCGAGCGCCCGGGCCCAGCTCTCCTCTCCCAGGGTCTGTGAAGGCTCTGGGGCGCCCGCGGTAGCGCGCCGCTCATTCATTCCAGATATTCACTGGGCGCCCGCTGAGTGCAAGGAGCTGCGGCGCCCAGCGGCGAGAAACAGCGCTCGCCTCGTTCCTGATCCTTTCTCGCAGCCCGAGCACCCCGACCGCCGCCGCCCGGCTGTGCCCAGCGCCTGCCTGCAGCGCGGCCTCGGGGCGCCGCGGAGGGGAAGGGGCCCCGCGGGTTGCAGCTCGTTCCCAGTCCGCCCGCCGCCTGGAAGCGGCTCCCGGCGAGCGCGCACGGCCGCGGCGCGCGGAGTCGGCAGAGCGGGAGAGGCCGGCGCCCGCGGTGGGGCTGAGGGGCGGCCCTGCGGGCGGGCGGAAGGCGCGGCCGGCGGGAGGGGCCGGGGCGGTGCCGGGAGGGGTGGCCCGAGGCCGGGCCAGCAGGTGGCCGCGGGCGGGCGGGGACGCGGCCCGCGCAGTCGGCGAAGTTGGGCGGAACATGGCGGAGGAGCCCGGGGCGCGCAAGAGCGCGCGGCGCCGCCCGCAGTCCCAGGAGCTGTAGCCGCCGCGGGCCGAGGTCGCCGCCATGGCGCGCTGGATCCCGACCAAGAGGCAGAAGTACGGGGTTGGTGAGTGCGCCCAGCCCCCGCGAAGATCGCCCGGCCGCCGGGAGGGCGCGCAGTCGGGGCTCGGCCCGGGGTCGGAGGGGCCCGAGCCTCCCGGGGGCGCGGCGGAGCGGGTTTGCTCGGCGTTGGGCGGCCCGAGCGGGAAAGTGAGGGCGGGCTTCGGGGCTGTAGTCTCCAGCGCCTCGCACGGAGGGGCCGTCAGGGCGCGGGGCCGCCGGTGGCCTCGCGGGGTCCCGCTCGCTCCCTGCGCCCCAGGAGCGCCCGGCCAGCCCCCGGGATGGCGCTCCGCTCCCCTCCTCCGAGGCCCTCCGCTGACGCCCCGAGACGGGAGTCGGGGTGAAAGCCGCCCTCCGCGCCCCCGGGACTGGGGTCCTGGCCGCTGCTGTAACTGGAACGGGGAAGCCGACGGTGGCGAGCGGAGGTGATGGGCGCGGGAGCGCGGCGTGGGAGGGGCGGCCGGTCCCTGGCTGTGTGTCCGCGCGCCCTTCGCCCGCGGAGCGCGGGTCGGGGGCGTGCGAACGCCGCGTTTACCTGTGGGATCCGGGGGACAGTTCAGCGGCGCGGGCCACTCGTGACCGCGGAGCCGAGGAGCCCCGCGAGTGCCCAGGAACTGCTCGGTCCGGTCGATGAATCCGAAACGATGGACGTGCGGCTTTGGGCCAGTGGAAAACCACGACCCCTTCACTTTCTATTGAGGAGCTAAGTTGAGGTCGGGTGGGAAGCTGCTGCCCTTCTCCGGGCCATTCCCTGGGCAGTTAGGAGGGAGCCCTTCCATAAACAGAGGTGTGTGTGTGTGTGTGTGTGTGTGTGTGTGTGTGTGTGTGTGTGTGGACAATTTTATCACTTCTCATTCATTCATTCGGCCTACTTGAAATGTAGTCTTTTATTCCACTCTCTCCCCTCACCTGCTGGTTTTAATACCCCCGGTATTCTGTGCTTGGACAGTTAAGTAGGTTTCAAGGGACACAACATCCGTAGCCATTCGTCAGGTTTGTGAAAAAGCCTCTCGTACTCACTGTAGTCTGAGATTGACACAGATTGTACCTGGCTGTGTGTGCATAAAATTATTCCAAAGAGTTTTTTTGGGGGGGTCTTTAAGTTACTTTGAGAATCTTTGCTCTTTCACTATGTGACACTATATATGGTATTTCTTCTGCCCCAGATCGCATGGTTGTGAGGCTTCGGATGAGCCAGGGAGTCCTCAGCAGGTGCTGTCGCGAGTAGCCAGCACTCAGGGAAATGGAATGCGGAACAAAGAAGAAGGGCAGGGAGTGTATCCAAGTAGCATGCCCAAAGCCCTGGGTTCAATCAGCGACAGAAAAACAGGATGAAATCCATTTATTTTGAGTGTTGTGGACACTATGACTGAATGAAAGTGTATTTAGCAGAGTCTGATTACTAATTGCAAAAACAAGTTACCAATTCTAATTTTGTTTAACCTAGATTCAAAGCTGTTTCCTAAAATATTATGACTTTGATGTCATTAATGCAAACCTGTTCCGAATTTTTTTTATTGCCATGGTTTTAGAAACGTGTACGATGTGCTTTCTTTTTAATCTTTTCCCCATGTCTTGGAGTCAGTTTAGTGTTACCAGTCAAGAAAAATATTTGGATTGCCTTTCTAGGGCACAGGTGTTAGCAAAATTGCCCCAGGATATAATGTAGGACAGTTACTTCACCAGATGTGATAGATTCTGATTGGCATGGATTCTGTTGACATCTCCATTGCTCAAAAATACATTGTGTTCTTGTGGCCTGTGGATGGCTTAGGGAGCCCAGACTTTGCTACCGGTTGGGTTCCACCTCCCTTCTCCAGCTTATCTCTCCCCACATGGCTGTGATTAACCCTCTCTGCAGGCAGACATACTGCCCTTCTCTCTTACGCAGTACACACCACAGCGTCCCTCCCCCTGTGAGACTTTGCCCCCTGCACCTGTGCCCTGCCCAGAGAACCCTCCGAACTCTGCCTCCCACAATCTGGCCTCTCCCTTGGGGCTCAGATCTCCTGCCACTGCTTCCTTCATAGTTTGCTTCTTGCCAGGTCTTCTGAAGCCCTGGAGCCCCTTACTCAAAATTCCTGCCGGTGCCATCGCCGTCCCTTGTGTTGCTCAGCTGCTTCTCATCAGGGACAGGAAGTGACGTTTTTGTGTCCCTGTCACTCAGGTGTACCAGGTGTGTGCAGTCCCCACACACACAAGCTCATCGTGTCACTTTCCACAGCTTCTGTTACCTGCGGTCACCTCAGGTCTAAAAATAAATGGAAAATTCTGGAGAGAGGAGGAGACAGACCACATCCACATAACTTTTCTTATAGTATGTTGTACAGTTGTTCCGTTGTACTGTGCTTTATTGTTAGTCTTTACCATTCCTACTTTCTAAATTCTTAACACAGGTGTGTACATGTGAGAAGAACCATCATTACATGGAGATCAGTCCTGGGGCTCCTGGCAAGGTATGCCCGAGGTTGAGGGGTCTGTTCCGAAGCACACCAACCTAATTTCTCTAGGGATTTAACGCAGCTTCCTTCAGTTAGACTTGAGCATTGCATTTGCCTCACTCTCACTTACTTGTTTTCTGTTCAGTGAGGGCCTCCACTCTGTCCTTAACTCTGCAAGTAAAAAATATGAGAGATTCTGCTATGGAAGCCCGGCTTAGACAGACTGGCATGGATGTGCTGGAGGGTGTTGGCTTCACTGGGCTCTTTGGGGGTCTGACCACTTCTGAGTGTCTGCTGGTCCCATTGGTTCCTGGGTAGGAGAAGCCACAGGTAGCTATCCTGAGGCCCGTGGTGATGCAGAGCTGCCCCTCGGTGGCCTGTGAGCTGAAGACAGAGCCCCAGCTCTGCTCCTATTGTGCCCTGGGAAGCTGGCAGTCCCCGCTGCCTCTTTTCTCTCAGTGCCGCTGTGGGGTGATCCTGAAGTAACCTAGTTTTCTCCACAGAGACTGAAATGCAGTCCGTCTGGGAGTTCTTAGTTCTTAAGCGTAGCGCTGCTGACTCGGTTTCTAGCATTAAGTGGGCCTAATGGCCCGTGTGTGTCAGCCAGCCAGAAGACACACAGACTTGATCCTTCAGAGCACTTCAGGACCCAGTGTACAGTGCTGAGTCCTGAGTGCTCAGGACAAGTGCTCTTCCATGGAGCCAGGCAGAATGTTTTCTTCCTGTCTTTCCTTTATCTTCTCTCTCTCAGTCTCTCTCTCCCTTCCTTGCTCTCTCCCTCTCCCCCTTATTCAAACATCTGAAGTTTCAAAACACTTGTTAGATTTTAAGCAGATATTATTGATAAATACGCAAATTATTCTTTGAGTTATTGAGATGTTAGCTTCTACCTAAGCTCTTTATGGCAAGAACTGCTGCAGATTATGTTGATTGTAGATTCTTTGCAGAGTAATTTTTTATCACACGTTGGGTTTTCTGATACCTATTTTTATAGCATGATAACAAGTAGTTTGGGGAAGTGTTTGCTTGTGTGTTAGCTCCTCAGTCGTCCAGCAGCACTCACCCTGGTTAGTCCAGAGCATTTGACTTTGGAGAATAGATTCATGCATCTGAGTTCAGGCCGAAGCCAGACTCTTGTGTGTCTGTGTTGAAGCCAGTGGACACCCAATCCCTCCTGCTGCAGCTCCAATGTGGTGGCAGGAAGGAGGTGCCCCACAGTGATTAGTTTCCTTTTAAAGAGAGTAGCTTTGTGCCTAGAGAGGCAAAATGAATTGCTTCACCCAGGGCTGCTTGCCTTTTTGGTTGCATGAACCCCATTAGCAATCTAGTGAAGCCAGTGCACGCACCTTTTCCTCAGAATGATAAAAATACAAAGGCTTGAGAATCAGATTCATTGTATTGAAACAGAGTTGTCAAGCTATTTTTCAAATATATGTGCTTCTGTATTAGAGCATTAACTAACGAGCTCTAATGGCAGGTAATGGCTACCATGATTGTGAATTAGGATGAACATATGTGATTTTTCAGGATAATTGCATTTGTATTTGGATCGTAATATGATATACAAGTACCTGTGCTTTCTGTTGATGATTGTATCACAGGCACTACTAGTGCACCTGGGGTGTGTTGCCTGCAGTCCAAATAGAAGTAAATGCTTAGTGTCCTAAAATAGGCGTGTAACTTTCTTTCCTGTCCAAATCCTGAATCCTCTGAATTTGGACACAGATTGAGACTCTCTGGCAGATCCTCACACTGCTAATGAGTTCCAGGACCATCTGAACAATTATAACAGCAGTCACACTTATAGAGCATCTCTCTACATGTGGCGTGGTGCTGGATGTTTATACAACTGCAGCCCCGAACAGGACCCTGCCGAGACGTGTTTATGTCCTGACAGCATTGAAGCTAAGGGAAAACATGGGGGGCAGAAGTGACATTGTTAATATTCATAGAGAACTTACACTGTGAGATTCTGGCCCAAAGCTTTTCTGAGCAAGTACTGTTCCAAAGCATTTACTGTAGTGTGTTCCAGGGACACTCAGGGGGTCTCAGAGACATTTGCAGAGGGCTTATGAGATTAAAAGTTTTTTCCCAGTAATCCCAAAATGTGATTGGCTTCTTTTCATCCACATTCACTCATGATTAGATACAGGGATTTCCACAAGTGTGGTATGGGAACAGATGACAGGCAGATAGGCAGCAAAGCCAGCTGCCTTCTACAGCCACATAGTAAAGAGATAAATAAATATGCAGAACAATGTCAAGCTTCTAAGTGATTTCTTTGGAGAGACAATTTCATTCATAAGAAATAGGTAATGTGGCCAACATGTATAGCGATTTGAAAGTAACTTTTGTTTTTAGTACTGAGGGTTGAACTCAGGGCCTTCACACTGAGCTACATCCCCAGCCATTTTTATTTTTTATTTTGAGACAATCTTGCTGAAACATTTTAGCTGCCTGAGCTGGGCTTGAACTTGTGATCCTCTTGCCTCAGCCTCCTGTAGGAATAACAGGCATGCACCATGACACCTGGCTTTAAGTTAACTGTTTCTTAAATGTGTGGGTT